TACATCACATGAAATTGTAAATAATTCAAGATATATGCATCATTTCAAGATAATGATAGCATGCTTTTTAATCAATAATGTTATAGATTAATAATTTGTATAATTTTAGGCTTTATCTAGTTATATTGATGCTTGCTTCTCATTGTTTTTTCATGTAGAATTGTGTACAAGCTATCGATGAAACATATCTATGAGTATGTGTATCTACAAAAAATTAAATATTATTTATTGATATAAAAAATGTACCGATACAAAATATAATGATTGCATATAGTTTTGACATGCAATTCACTTTTATTTTGAATAAATAAAAGGATGGTAAATATAATATGTATATTTTTCTTGAGGTTATTAATAATCTAATATTAAATTTTTTAAGCTAGAAGGTATTAACAAACCAAAACATGTAATGTTATTTATTTTATGAAAATTTAATGTTATTATAATTATTGGGTAATAAATAATAACCTAAGAATATGTTATCCCGGGGAAAAACTATATAATATTTTGAGATGTCCTAACAAATATGACCTTTTATGTTTATATAAAGGAGAAAGATATAATTTGTAAAACTTTTCCAGGTAAAGATAACCATGAGCTCAGGAATAAACTTTCAATTGTATTCACTTTTCAATACTTTCTGTGATATATTTGGAGTGAGGGAAAAAAATTAAATTTTTTTATAGAATATGTCTTTGTTTCTTACAAAGTAAAAGTTCTAATTATAATAATATCTATAAACACTACCTAACTATATTAAAAATAAGTTATATGATGATGTGAAATTTATGAAATTTAGTCATTATCTTGATTTTATTTCTATAAATTTCTTAACCAATGTATTTCTATATTCACAAACCCATGAAAACTAAAATCCTTCCTGTATAAATTATGTTCATGATTGAATTATAGTAAATTTAATACAATAATAACAAAACCGATGTTGTGGTTGGCATGGTTGTCTTTATAATATATTAATAATAAAGTAAACATTAATGTAAATGCATTAATGTTCTCTCTCCTTCCTTCCATCTTTCTTTTTATATATTATGTAAGTGGGGTCTATATAGCTACCTAACACTAAAAAGGTTTGATTAGATGGATAAGAGAATGGCAGACAAAAGGAAGCTCGATCTTCCCAAAGGCAGAGAGCAAATCTATAAATGAGACATATAACAAAACCGTGCTTGTTTTGTCCTAAATAAAGAATCCGCTGCCCCATCCTCTCGCAGCCCAGCAGAGATACATCTCTGAATCTTGAAAAAGAGATTAACAAATGAAAATGAAAGAAACAATCCCCTTCCTTACGAGGTGATGAAGTCACAAACCATGGAAAGAGTTGCTAAGAAATTCTTATGGGGAGAAGGAAAGCACCTCCTGCTGCTAGAGCCTTGAAGGAATATCGAGGAGCACTTGTGGGAGCATGAGCATAGTCTTGTAAAAATTAAAACATTTCCATCAAAATTACATGTATTGTCGCTCTTGAGACGAAGACATCTAACTATTTGTTGCATCAACAATAATAAAAATAAAAAAATAAAAAAAATCTCCACCTTGTTACGTTGGAAGCCTCATAGGGTATTTTTAAAGGTAAATTTCATTCTATCTCCCTGGTTTTATCCTCCTTTTCTTTTTCTCAAATTTAAATTCTATCCGATTCTATTTGGATCGCAAACGAGGATCAGCTGCACCACAGAGAGACGTCTGCCTGCATTAGCAAATATTTATATGGCTGCAGGCATATGCAAGAGTGGTGATGATGATACTATAGCACTCGGCCTTTCTTAATCAGATGAAGAACGAGTGAATTTGTGTAGGTTCTATTCAGTAATAGAAAACCTTTTTTTTTTTTCTAATGAAAATTGAGAAACTTGTTCATTTGTCAAGAAAGAAGATAATTTTTTCCATAAAAAAATAAGATAAGAAATACGTTAAGATTATAATTATTTTCCATAAAAATTAAAAACTGTATTAGTCATCTTAATAGTTATATTCATGATATTTAATTATAAAATATTAAATTGAAAATAACCACAAGAAAGTTATTTTTGTTAAATAAAAAAAGAAATTCTTTATATTAGATTTACAATAAAAAAAAACTTATGACACTAAGTGTATATATATATAAACAATTTTAATGTTTTGCATTGCCAAAAAAATGCTTGCATATAAAAGAAAAAACTTATACTTTTTATGTTTTTTATTTATTTGAAAAACAGTAAAAAAAAAACTGTTGGAAACCTCTAAAATATGTTTTCCAAACTCAGAACAAAAGAATACTAATTCTCTGTTTTTTAATTGTCGGTAAAAAATTAATTATTTGGTATAATACAATGTGAATATATAAAAAGTCAATAAGCATGTGACAAACAAAGGAACAACTCCTACTACTACTGTATCTAAAAAGATCTATCGACAGTAGAAGACTTCCGCGGCTTGTTGTACGAGACCTAGAATGCCATAATTAATGTTGTTTTTGTTTTTTTAATAAATAACATTAAAAACATTTAAGATATTAAACTCACTATTCAGGTTTTTTTTTTTCAAGTTTTGAATTTTACTTGTAATCTTTCAATATAAATATAAAATTTTTAGATTTTGATAATTTTCTTAACTCAAAATTTTAGAGATAAATTTTTTATTTACTTATATTTTTATTGACATTTTCTAATAAAAATTTAATCTTTAATATAAAAGCACCGTATTTTTAATTTAATTTCAAATATATGAATGCAATAAGCAGTTTCTAAAGGATCTTGAGCCCATTCACAAGTCAAACTAGCTTGATAATGCTCTTAGGCCTTCTCAAGCCTAAGCTCTACACCCTTCCACACACCTATTATACTGCATAAGCACATGCAACTACAATTATATTAGCTACTTCATTACAGTTTCTACGATAATCAGCCTTATTAATCAAATGAATTAATTAATAATTATGATGACAAAGAGACCCAATAGTGTATAAATGTGCGAAAAACGAGATTAATTGTGAGAATATCAAGAAATTTACTATTAAGAATGGTGGCAAAGGGCAGCAGAACAGTGGTGATGAAATATGCAAAGTAAAAAGAAAAAGAAAATGGCTGAGATTGAATGACAACAACAGTAGGGGTAGAAAATAAAGTGGGAAATCTAAACTGAAAATTACATACGGTGTTGAAGAGCTTGGTGGGGGAGTTTTTGATGACTTCCATTGATTGAATCTCTAAACCCAAACTCTCATTGGATGAAAATATGTTAGTGGAAGTCATCGCAACTCACTCTCTCTCCCCCAATCTTCCCAGAAATATCACTTATTCGTTCATCCCAAGATACGTAATTTGCGTTGGAAACATGATTTTCAGGAATAAGCAACATTCCGAATCATTTCAATGTAGAAATCATGTGTAAAGACAGAATCATAAAGCAGCCAGGCCTCTGCCTGTTTGTGCGTGGTGTTTCTGATACGCAGTATCAGAACGGTTTTACAAAAGAAACATGGCGTGAAGGAATCAGAACGTTCTCTTCTTGCTTCCCTTTCGTTTGCTTATGATTTGCACGCGGAGAAGATGCTTTCCCTCACCTTTATGCATGCAAAAACAAAACCATTAATTGGAAATTGGGAGTTGTCTTCAAAAGAAGAGGAAAATCATAATCATGCACTTTGGCACTAATCTAAACAGCACTAAACACCCTTTTCCTTTTCTCTTTTGTTCAAGCAATACAAGGTATACACTCCTCATTTGTCTGGGTTTAGCGAACAAGCACTGACCTTTTACATCATCAAGTAAAAAGCTTGTTGTTGAAAAAGATATTACAAACAATTTGTACTCAGTACACTGGGAATCAATCGCTAAGCTAATTTTTTATTTGATAAAACAAGTTTTTCGCTTTCGTCGAAGAGGATGAACAGGAAAGCAGAATGCGAAGGCCCATGTCATATGTAACAACAAGATATTTAACGGGTCAGACTTGAGCATTGTAGAAGCACAGACGCACTATGTATTTTCCTCGCATTTTATTTAAACTAAATTGCTTCGTTTCTACTGATTTTGGGGCGCTAGATTACATTAATTATATATCTAGGATGAAAGAACCTCGGTACCCCCGACGCTTTGGCCGAGTGGTTAAGGCGTGTGCCTGCTAAGTACATGGGGTTTCCCCGCGAGAGTTCGAATCTCTCAGGCGTCGGTTAAAGGTTTTTGTTTTTTAATCCCACAAGTTTGGGCTAAGAGGCCGCTTAAGATCCACAATGGGCCCAGAGTATTGGTTCCCTATAAAGAGATCAGACGCTACTATGAATGTTCATTTTCCCGCGAGAGTTCGAATCTCTCAGGCGTCGGTTAAAGTTTTTGTTTTTTAATCCCACAAGTTTGGGCTAAGAGGCCGCTTATGAAGATCCACGATGGGCCCAAAGTATTGGTTCTCTATAAAGAGACCAGACGCTACTATGGATGTTCAATTTCTCTTCTCAAAAGTTCGATGGCCACTCTTCAAAGTGTTGATATTCTCCCACCGAGTTGGCTCCTCTCAGGAATGATTCCTTTCCCTCGTAGAGGGCGGCTTAGCTTACCCTTTTTCCTTCCTTTTCTTCCCCCCCGAATTCTTGGTTTGATGAGCACGAGCCCTTGCTAACGGATGGACCTAGATCATCTAACGGAATCACACCATGCCTAAGCACTGATATTTCACTGTTAGACAGAGAGGGCACAACATGAAACAGGGAGCATGTTTGCCTGTGTTTTACCCAGAGAAACGTGTAATCTATAAAAAAGAATCTCACTCGCTTTAAGACAACAAACGTAGATAATTTGCTTTCAGAAACAACTGTCAGGATCTTAAAATACCCTGGTAAGCGCTATTCAATCATACAAGTATTAAATGATAACCAGGAATAAACATGTTTTATTCACACTCGGAAACTAGATGACGTTTGATAGAAGGCAGCTCTCATAAAGTGTCCACACTCTGTTCGTGGTGAACGTTTTACCAACTACATGGATGAACTTCACATTCTAGAACCAGAATCGATGATCAGCTGCAATAGCATGAATTAATCTATTTAGTACATCAAGAAGACTTTCCCATGAACATGCATGCGAGACATCAACAAACAAGAAAGGCATACCCGTCAAACAGTTTTATCCAAGAGGGAAACAAAAAAAAAAATAAAAAAAATCTTGCATCCACCCTAACAGACTGACTTTTTGATTGATACTATTAAAAATTGCGCCCAGTATGTGTGAAATTGTGAATTTTAATTAAAAAAAATAAGAGTATAAGTCGAACAAACATGAGGTAAAGCGCTTAGAAGTCAGGAATCCAGGTATTCTTCTTGACACCATTGAACACAAGCATGAATGGTGCTCCAAACGTTCTAGTGGCCATACTTCTGAAACTCCCACTCACTATTATCTGCAGAGACCACTAAAAAAATAAAAACAAACGAGAAAATCTTTAGGAGATAAGATGAAAAGAATCGAGGGAAGCTACAAGAAACATACCCAATGGGCACACTTGACGAGTCTTGAGCCATCGGCTGATGCAGTGAAAGTGAAATGCATGGTTACACACCCCTGTGGACATAACAGTGAAGCTTGCTTAAACATTAGGTGCTAATGCCAGTCTAATTTTACACCCTTGACATATTTTATAACTCAAAGACACAAGCATAAGAAACAAATTAAAAAGTATGCGAAGATAAACAAACAAACATAAACAAGGTCAACATCATTATTAAACAGCTCCAATTATAAATTATATACAATAACCAAAAACAATAAAAATAAAGATAAAAACATTCAGCATTCCAACTTAAACTACAACAATAACAATAATAATTGTGATAGTGGTGGTGGTAGAGAATCACTACCATTCCTTTAGAAGCAGCGACTAACCATTCTGAAGATGCTCAATAATATTTTTATTGTTGTCAAATCATAAGATCGTATGATTTTATAAGTTAATTTGTATCTACTTGCAAAATCAAACAACAAAATTAAAAACCAGTAAAATCGGACTTGACTTGTGCAAATTCGATAAAGTTGATAAAAAGTTAGTTCGAGTCAGCGATTTTACATAAAGTATAAATAGCTCCAAAATCCTTGTCCTTCCTCTCTGTTAAACTTAGACTACCAGCCGATCTTTCAAAATCCTTGTCCTTTCTCTTGGGTGATTTCTCCAACTAAGGTTGTATGTTTATGAGTATGGGTTGTGGTTGGCTCTTTGGAAACTGTTACAAATTAAAGGTATCTTATATTATTAGATATGTTATTATAAAACATGTTTTAGTTAAGGAGTTATTAATACTTCAAGTGCAAAATGATGACATAAAACCTTGATAAAAAATGTACTTTTAAGTACTAATCACCTCTCTATTAAACATCTTGTTTTGACATCAATCAGGTTAATGTTTCTTAAACTTCTTATTATATTGTCTTTTATTCTCTCTCTTTCTCCTTCCCTGTGTGAGTCTCTGCTCCTTCAATTCCAATTTCATGATCTTCTATATGAGACAGGACATAAATGAGTTAAGAATATTATCATTTTTGTTACTATCATTTCTACTATCAGACAGGTCATAAATAAGTTAAGAATACTCATTGAACATCTTCCAAGATTATTTGCAGACTGCCATTACAACAAACCTATTCTTGAAGCTTTACAAGAAAAACCAAGTGGATCTTCTTTTCCATCTACTTCTTCAGCAAAGGATAAAGGTAAAGAAAAGGTCTATGGAACAAAGAGAGATACAGACTCTCCTATAGGTATAAGACCAACAATTATTACTAGTCTTATATATATTCCACGGTGAGTTCTGTAAAAGAACAATTGTTAGAATATTTCATAGCTCATAACCATACAAAATTCACTAACAAAGTGATACAGGTTTTAAGTAAAATTGGTTCTGAAATAGAGGACGAACAAGATGAGGATATTAATGTCCTTGTATCCATTCCCCGAGAATAGAAAACTGAAGTCGACGTTAATGTTGATATTAATGAAGAACACACAAATGATGCTAAATCTTTAGTAGTAAGGACTGGTAGACCACCAAGGCTTACAAGACATCACAGTGCAACATATACTAGCAGAATGGCTAGTGGAGCAACTAGGTCTGGCAGGACTAGTGAATATAAAAGGTATAATATACCTATTGATTACATACCTCAGGTAAGATTCCCAGGTGACATGTTTGATTTAGACTGCGCTCTAAATAGACGAGAACTCTTAGAATGTTGGGAGAATACAATGAGACTGATCATCTAAATAGAAGATAACTTATGAGATGAATATAATCTCATTTTAACTCTTATTAAAAATAAGAAAATAGGTGGTGTTCGTCGATTTATCGAAGGAACAGATTGGCAACCACTTATGACTAGAACAGGATATGATTTTTTGAATACATTATACACTATCTTTTTAGGTGTTAATTATCTTACAGATGGAGATAGGGAGTGTGCTTGAGAACAAGAAGAAGCATAGTTATGGTTAGCCCATTTACAATTATGCAACCTCTGTGATCTCAATGCCCTTTATTGTGATTATGAGAAACATTTATTATTTATTCTTAGCCAATAATGGCCGGTATACATCGAAGCATTTGTTCAAAAAATTCCTTATGCAAGAACACAGGTTCTTGACAAATATAAGACTCTCCCTACTTTAACAAAACAGTTGCTTGCAGGAGCTTACAAATTAGTCATCGATTACATGAAGAACGTTTTCTGTGAAAAACAGGTAAAACTACAACTTAAGAAAATTAACCTCTGTTGCCCTAAGTTTGTAGGACTGGAAACAATGTATGGATGTAATACTCCTAAAGTATTGAAAAAATGGAAAAGACAATTGAAGAAAAAATTATGGAAATGGCAGACAAAGAAAAAGAGAAAGTATAAGCCGACAAAATACTTCCATAAAGGACGATCCCAGAAGCCTTATGATTAGTACTTAAAAGTGCATTTTATCAAGGTTTATATCATTATTGTGCACTTAAAGTATCAATAACTCCTTAACTAGAGCATGTTTTATAATAACAAGTCTGATAATATAAGATACCTTTAATTTATGGTAAATGCACATTTTAAATGCAGGTATTCTCATAATTCAAAGAATTTATTATTGTGATTAACTATTAGAAGTGAAAGGACAGAGAAAAGGCTAAGCTTATGAAGGAGATGCTGATTCACTTCAAATTCGAACACTGTTCAGTCATCGGATCATATCTAGAGCTATAGATCTTGGATTTCATATTAATTTATATGGTTGGAAAGATAAGAAATAGGCTTACAACTTTTATGGGTATGGAAAAACCCAAATTTACCACTTTCAAATTCAAAGTTTGGCCACAAAAGAGAAGTCCGAATATGTCTTGCAATCCAACCCAAACACTACTCAAAGTTTTACCCATAACTGGAGTTCTAGAAGTCCAAATGATTTGAAATTTGGTGGGTGGAAGGAAAAGAAAATTTTCAATAACTTTCATGAGAGGACCAGCTTAAATTCAGATGGTAGAAATGAGATTTCATCCAGACAAGAGCATGAGGGCTATCCACCACGTCCACCTGTAGCACTGTTTAGTATTTTAGACATATCTCGAGCTGTAATATTTCAAATGATCTAAAATTTCATGGGTGGAAGGAAAAGATAAATTCCAACAACTTTCATCAGGAACACTTTGCCAAATTCGGATTGCATCAATGTCAATTCAGCCAGCCAATGTGCTTGAGTGATTTAGTCCACCAAGTCCACTAATCAATAGTTGGTCACTACATCAATTATCAATTACCACATGAATAGTTCTGAATTTTAGCCTATAAAATTAGGCATTTTCCATTCATTTAGGCATGTTTTTTTCCATATCAAGATCATGTTCTTACTCTTTCTCTTTATATTTTTGTAATGCTTAAGTTTTGCTTTCATTAATCTCTTGTTCATGCTTTTCATTTTCTTTACTATACTTAGTTAACTTATATCATGTTTATATTCTTGGATTGTTTCTTTAAGTTTTTCTTCTTCATAATGTCTAGCTAAGTTAATTATGTCAAGGTGAAAAGGTTTCACTAATGGTGTTGGGATAAATATAATATAAACTCAATATGGATTTCAATGCTTATATCTTAAACAACTTGCTATTAACATGTTTTATTATTTTTATCTTATTAATTCTTAATACCTTACTTGTTAAATGGTTAATCTAGATTTATGTTGTATAACACTTGGTGCATCAAATACTTGATCCTTTATAGTCTTCGACCGACATTGTTATTATGAGAGGAACTTGATTTGTTGTCAACATAAGTTAGCATCATGAAACTTGATAAAATTTATAAGTATGGTGTTATGTAAATAAGATGATTAATATGATCATGTTGATAATTAATAAAGAGTTTATATCTTACTTATCTTTAATACTATTAGTGTATCCTCTAACCTTGACATTTGTTTTTATCATTGTATAATCTTTATATTAACCTTACATCTCAAAGTCCTCTTTAACTCATCTTTACCACCACCATCATTGTTGTTGTTGTTGTTGTTGTTATTGTTGTTCTTATTATTATTTATAATTTATATAGTTAACTTCCCTGTGGTTTGACCCTGGTCTTGTCGGGTTATTTATTACTTTGACACTCTTACACTTGGGTTATAAAAGATGATTCTTTCGAAAGAAAGGACACCAACGTGATCTCCAATTGGGAAAAAACAGGAGCTAGCTAACGGCTTATCTACTGACAAAAGTAAATTTTATCCACAAGGTAAGCGCACATGCAAATGTTAGGTGGGCTGGGAAATAAGACATTATAGTTATGAATGTCCACAAAAAAAAAAAAAGAACACCTCAAGATCCTCTTAGAGGATATTGAAATTACACATAATCTAGTGCTCCTAAAAGACCCATGGTCCGATATCACGTACTTAGAAGAAGAGATTTATCTTTTTGATAGTGACTACTCACTTGACTCTATTATCACTGAAAGTGATAATGACAATACTGATAGTAAATGATTCACTAGACTTTGAAGATGACTCATGGTGGGACCAAGTCGCACTAGAAGAAGGGTTAGATTTAGATCTAATCCCTACACTAGAAGAACAAGACTTCCTCAGTTGGTAAGACTTATAACAAGAATTAGAGGAACTAGTACACTTAGAAGAGATTATATATCTTAACCAAATAGAGCATCAAGCTTTGCAAAACATTGATAGCAAAGATATCAATAAAGACCATGTTATTGCTGCTATTAATCCAAACAATATCTATATTAAAGGAACACTCTTCTTTAAAGGATATAGAAAATATAGCTTAGACTGTTATGTTGACACAGGAGCTAGTATGTATACTGGTAACAAAAATGTAATACCCCCTGAATACTGGGTACAAGCCAAACACCCTATATGTGCTAAGACAATTAATGATAAAATCATTATCATAGACAAGGTGGCTGAACAAATTTAGATCTTGTTATTTGATCACATCTTTATTATCGCAACATTATATCAAGTCGAAACACGTTTTGATATTTTATTAGGTAACAACTTTTGCAGGTTATATGAACCGTTTGTAAAATTAATTTATGATCAATTTGAATTAGCCTTGAGTAAAACTGAGTTTGATGAATTTGAAGAATTGAAAAAGATTTATTCTTAGAAAGAAATCAAGGATAAAATAGGCATCGACAATGTTGTCACAAATCATTAGTCAAAATTGATAATAGATTCGACATCTGACACCATACCAATCAATGATTACTTTTATGATGAATCTTTTCTTTTTCTTAGTCCAATGCCTTGGTTTACTAATTTTATTAATTTTCTAGCTTTAAGACATTTACTAGCTCGTTGGAGTACCCAAGTGATTAGTACTTAAAAGTGTATTCTCATTAAGGATTTATGTCATCATATTGCACCTAAAGTATCATTAAATTCCCTAACAAAAGCATGTTTTATATTAGCAAGTCTAATAATATAATATACCTTTAATTCATGGTAAATGTTCATCTTAAATGCAGGTCTATCAAATAAATAAAAGGATTAATTAATGAGTTTAAGTATTGAAATTGAAAGGATAAAGAGAGGGCCAAACTTAGAAAAGTATTGCTGGTGTAGTCCAAATTCAAACACCATTCAGTAATTAGATCATATCTGGAGCTGTAGATATCAAATTTAGGTCCACTTTATATGGATGGAAAGGTAAGACATAGACCTACAACTTTCATATGGACTCAAAGACTCAATTTTACCGTTTTCAAGTTCAAATCTTAGTAACAACAAAGAAGTCAGAAGCTGTCCTGCAACTCAAACACTATTCGGTTTTTAGCTCATATCTTGAGTTCTAGAAGTCCAAATGAGCTCTGGTTTTTTTTGTAAGAAAGCTGAGATAATTGCCCACAACTTCCATAATTCAGAGGGCTATAATTATAATGTTAGATATGATGTTTTGGCTAGCCAACAATATCAATAATCAACCCACAATATAAAAAAAAACAG